AGCATGTCATAGCTGGACTGACATTGACACTATTCCTTGCGTTGTTTGTCCTTAGGTCCCCAGAAAGGCATGGCTTCCTGAGGGAAGAGGAGCTTTGTACCCTTGGGGAAAGGGATGCTGTGGTAATAGACAGGTCCTCCCTCTTTGATTCACTTTTAATGTGTTGCAAAATGTTTCAGCCCAGCTAATGGGTTTCAGGGTTATATTATCCTGTTTTAATTAAACTAATACTCAGATTATGACCAAGGAATCTTCACAAAAATGATATGCAAAAAAAAAAAAAAAAAAAACCCAGATAGAAGAAAACATTAAGAATGCAAATCTGAGCAAACCATAAGAAGACAGCTGAGTGGCACTTCTCCTACCCCTCATAGGAGCGCTTTGTCAGCCCATTTCAATATAAAAACAATGGTAAGCTGAGAAGTTGGCCAAAAAGGAAGGACTAAGAAAACCACTTAAAATATGTATTTACATCCATTTATTAACAAGAAGCCCACTTGAAGTGCATATTGTGCCTTGAGACATCAAGACATGAGCTAATGGCAGTGTGCATTCATGCACACACACTTATGCATGCTAGAATTTATATTTTCTTTTTTAAAATTTATTGTTATTTATTTTTTTTCAGATGAAGTCTTGCTCTGTCGCCAGGCTGGAGTGCAGTGGCACAATCTCGGCTCACTGCAACCTCTGTCCCCTGAGTTCAAGCGATTCTTTTGCTTCAACCTCCCGAGTAGCTGGCACTACAGGCACATGCCAACACACTCAGCTAGTTTTTGTATTTTTAGGAGAGACGGGGTGTCACCATGTTGGCCAGAATGGTCTCCATCTCTTGATGTTGTGATCTTCCCGCCTTGGCCTCCCAAAGTGTTGGGATTATGGGCATGAGCCACTGTGCCTGGCCAGTTTTTTTTTTTTTTTTTTTTTTTTTTTTTTTGAGACGGAGTTTCGCTCTTGTTACCCAGGCTGGAGTGCAATGGCGCGATCTCGGCTCACCGCAACCTCCGCCTCCCGGGTTCAGGCAATTCTCCTGCCTCAGCCTCCTGAGTAGCTGGGATTACAGGCACGTGCCACCATGCCCAGCTAATTTTTTGTATTTTTAGTAGAGACGGGGTTTCACCATGTTGACCAGGATGGTCTCGATCTCTCGACCTCGTGATCCACCCGCCTCGGCCTCCCAAAGTGCTGGGATTACAAGCTTGAGCCACCGCGCCCGGCCCAGTTTTTTTAATTAATAGGGCAAGTGATCAAAAATGTCTGGAGACAACCACTCCAGAAAGAGGATTGGAAATTATGGCATTGCTGTTTTTCCTTCCTGGATTTTTCAGGGAAGATGATCTGTAATTTAGAATAATGACCTAAAGGGTACCAGGAGTGGTCTGGGACAAGTGTCGTATCTGGGGGATAGAACTTGGCATTGCTAAGGAAGAGAGTGATCTTTAACCAGCATTCTAGGACTCCTCTGGGGCCCAGGCAGGAGCCTTGAACCTCCTGTCTGCAATCTTTGGACAAGCCAGATAGCCTGGCTTGGCCATCATCTGTCTGAGGAAGCATTCTCCTGAGTACCCCGAAATGCCAGGAAAGTGATCAGGAAAAACTGAGGTACTAATTGAAAACCATCTTGATGAGAAGCACAGCTCCTGGTGGCAGGAAAGGGCTGGGCCTTTTGGAGATGGTGTCACCTTCCTGACTTGACTTTTACCAACAGTGAAATGCACAGCTCTGAGCTGTAACACTGCTTGCTTTCTTCCTTGCAAACTGTAGACTGTTTGGGCAGGAGGGTGCTGCCTGACTCTGGGGCTCCACAGCCCTTCACCTCCTTGTTATCTCTCTCTCTCTCTCTCTCTCTCTCTCTCTCTCTCTCTCTCTCTCTGAATCTCTAGCTCTGGCTCATTAGCTCCTTGAGTAATTTTTAATTTTTTTTTTTTTTTTTTTTGAGATGGAGTCTTGCTCTCGCCCAGGCTGGAGTACAGTGGTGTGATCTTGGCTTACTGCAACCTCTGTCTCCTGGGTTCAAGCAATTCTCCTGCCTCAGACTCCCAAGTAGCTGGGACTACAGGTGTTCACCACCACGCCTGGCTAATTTTTTGTATTTTTAGTAGAGATGGGGTTTCACCATGTTGGCTAGGTTGGTCTCGATCTCCTGACCTCTTGATCTGCCTGCCTGGACCTCCCAAATGCTGGGGTTACAGGCGTAAGCCTCCTCCCCGGCCAAGTATAACCTTTCTATGGCCACCTATTTTCCTAAGAATAAAGTTCACACCAAGTCAGGCACTCAGTCTGACTTCCACAGACCACTCCAGTTCCTGTCCCAGCCGTCCCTGGTGCATAGTGCTCCCTGGCATACCATGGTGGAGGTGGTGGCTTCCTTGTCAAAATATCTGGGGATGCTGTTAGAGTCCAGGGGTGCCAAATGTCCTGTCGTGAGGCAGGCAAGATACAGGAAGCCTTCAGCCTTGCAAGGAGCGCCAGGTCACGCCACGTTCCCCAAAGGCCGCAGGTTCTGATGGTCTATTCTGCCCTTGCAGTTTCCTCCGCCTGCCATGCCCTTCCCCAGCATCTCCATCTGGCTCACTCCCTCCTGTCCACAGACCTCACCGGCATCCCCCTCGGCCAACACAGCTGTCAGATGCGCCTCTCTTGCGCCCCCTCCTGGACTGGTGCCTCTGTGCATTTGCATCTCGGGTGGGAACCGTGGCTCTCTTCTTGGCCCCTTGCCACTTTGTGAGCCCCTTGAGGGCAAAGTCCAGGCCAAGGAAGACCCCTGGAAGTGGACCCCAAGGGTTGAGTTTTCAGGGACTCCTGGTGCCCGCCATCAAAGGAGGCAAGTCCACCTGCTGCTTTCTGCAGGAGCTCTCCAAGCTGGGCCTGGGGAATGACATGGAGGTGCAGCTGCGGACTCTGGAGCTGCCTGTAGATTATAGGGAAGCTAAGCGGAGGGTCACCGGGATCTGGGAAGATCATCGGCCACAAGTAAATGATGGCCGGAGGCAGCGGGGCCAGCTTGTCGATGTGGTGGAGCTGGAGCCTGGCCTCACGAGCCCAGTTCTAGGGTTGATGGTTGACGTGCACACCATCCCCAGGCCCCACCAGTCATGTGAGGTCACAGCTGATTGTGTAAAAATCAATCTAGGACTGTTTGTAAAAGTTTAAGCCAAAATATGGAGTAGGTCTTAGTAGGAAACCTGGAGAGGCCGGATGTGGAGGCTCATGCCTGTAATCCTAGCATTTTGGGAGGCCAAGGCAGGCAGATCACCAGGTCAGGAGTTCAAGACCAGCCTGACCAACATGGTGAAACCCCATCGCTACTGAAAATATAAAAATGAGCCAGGCGTGGTGGTGTGTGCCTGTAATCCTAGCTACTCAGGAGGCTGAGGCAGGAGAATCTCTTGAAACCGGGAGGCGGAGGTTGCAGTGAGAGCAATGGGCCGAGATTGTGCCACTGCACTTCAGCCTTGGTGACAGAGCGAGACTCCGTATCAAAAAAAAAAAAAAAAATCCAGAGAGAAAGTAGGAGGAAATGAAATGGAAGTATTATTCCCAGCCAGGACCCAAAAATAATTTCCACCTAAGGAAGAAGCCCTTGGGTTGGGCCCAACCCATGCCCATGAGGGGCAAGTAGGTTGTGAAGGTGAACATCAGGCAAGCACCTCTGTGCTCAGGGAACAATTAGGAGGGTGGCCAACCTGGGGGAGGCCCATCCTCATAGCACCCAGCCCATTTTATCTAGATATAATTACTGTGTAAAAAACTGAGCTGGGTGCCGTCACTCACACTTGTAATCCCAGCATTTTGGGAGGCCGAGGCAGGTGGATCACCTGAGGTCAGGAGTTTGAGACCAGCGTGATCATTATGGTAAAACCCCATCTCTACTAAAAATACAAAAAAATTAGCCGGGCCTGGTGGTGGGCAACTGTAATTCCAGCTATTTAGGATGCTGAGGCAGGAGAATTGCTTGCACCCGGGAGGTGGAGGTTGCAGTGAGCCGAGATCACACCACTGCACTCCAGCCTGGGCAACAGAGTAAGACCCTGTCTCAAAAACAAAACAAAAAAACACCAGTACAACCCTACCACCCCACCAAAAAAAGTCCCCAAACAAGGACCAGATGATGAGGTTAATAAAACATACAACATCAAGCCATTCAGACAGTGCTCCAGATGTCTTGATAAAATACTTGGGCAGCTGTTTTTCAAAAAGGAAAAATAATCAGTTTGAATAAATTCTAACAAGATTTCATTGGACTGCTACTAACTTCCTTTATTAAAGTTTCATTTTAAAAATTATGCAGGAGGCAGGCATGGTGGCTCACGCCTGTAATCCCAGCACTTTGAAAGGCTGAAGCAGGCAGATCACTTGAGGTCAGGAGTTTGAGACCAGCCTGGCCAATATGATGAAACCCTGTCCAACTAAAAATTCAGAAATGAGCTGGGCATGGTGGTGCATGCCTGTAATCCCAGCCACTAGGGAGGCTGAGGCAGGAGAATCGCTTGAACCGGGGAGGCAGAGGTTGCAGTGAGCCAAGACTGCCATTGCACTCCAGTCTGGGTGACAGAGCTAGACTCCGTCTCACAAAAATAAAAATAAATAAATAAAATTAAATACAATAAGAAGATGCAGGTTTCCACCAAAACACAAAGTACCTCCTGTGGTAGCCTTACCACTTACCAGCTTGCCTCTCTTCCCTCCAGCCCTCCCCCTACAAAAAGAGAATACATTCCTCTGTAAGAATAGATTGAAATAAAAAGTAATTTAACGTAGATGCAGCATGAGTTTTTATTCAGCTAACAGAATCCAGCTGTTTTTCATTTCAGCCATATTAATTTGGAGACCCTGGTCGGGTACCATGGGGTTTCTGGTGGATTTGGGGTTTGAGATGTTTTGCATGGAGCCGCGCTCTCCAGGAGTAGTCCTTCTGCACATCTGGTGAGCAGGGTGGGCCTCATTCTCCTGGGGTCTCTCTGCTGTTGCCTGTTCACACAGCTTGCCTTGCACATGGGATGGACACCTCTGCCAAGGATCATTCTGGAACAGTCTAGCAAGAACCGAGACTGCTGGGACGCTGACATCTGGGGCTTCTGGCCCGAGGGCAGCGTGTGCCTACCTGGCGGCCCAGATGTTCCGGAGTCAGGGGTCTGCATGAAGGCAGTGCATGAAGGAGCTGTGGAGGGTGTTGAGGCCATCTTTTCCCCAGATGCGGGCAGCTACGCTCTGTGGGTGTTAGGACTCTGAGCAGGTAGGAGAGAAGCAGTGGCCTTCAGCGTCCCTCCGAGAAGCCAACCTGTACCGTCCAGCTGGCCACTTGGCTGTCCGGGGCTGCCCCCAGACTCCCTCTTTGCTGGGTGCAGGTCAGCACAGGTGCTTGCACCTTGCCTGTGGTCTCATTTGTGAGACCTCCCTGTGGACACATGGTCTTTCGTGTGTTGATCTAGGAGAAGACATAGGAAGGCAGACTTCCAGAGCCACTAACATTTCCTGAATGTTTTCTCATTTTGATTTCTGGGGTGACCGAAGTTGTGAGTTAACTATGCCGATGCAGCCCCAGATTGATTTACCTTTGTTTCTCCAGACTCTGATCCCCAGTGGGTGGTTTCCCTTTCCCCCAGGGAATGAATAAGTCACTCAATGAAGACATGAATGATAGGGATTCATGGCTGGGTACAGTGGCTCATGCCTGTAATCCCAGCACTTTAGGAGGCCAAGGTGAGTAGGTCATGAGGTCAGGGAATCGAAGCCATCGTGGCCAACATGGTGAAACCCCGTCACTACTAAAATACGAAAAAAAATTTGCTGGGCATTGTGGTGTGCATCTGTAGTCCCAGCTACTTGGGAGGCTGAGGCAGGGAAATCACTTGAACCCAGGAGGCAGAGGTAGCAGTGAGCTGAGATTGCACCACTGCACTCCAGCCTGGTGACAGAGCAAGTCTCCATCTCAGGAAAAAAAAAAAAGATAGGGATTCACTGAAATACAGGTGTCATGGGCTGGGTGGTGGAAATATGACCCCTTTCTGTCTTGGCCACTTGCTGGTCATGAAGCCAAGAGCCAGGCTCTCCCCAGCTCATCCCTGGCACCATGTTCTCTCTGAGGTGACACAACACAACCTAAGTCTCCCTTGGATGGCAGTCCTCCCTTCTCTGCTTTACTGGTGTTGCATTGCCACTCCTGCTTATGTTTCACTGAGGTTAGAGGCTGGTCCAGGAATTAATGTGGCATTTCCTGTGGTTGCATATTCGTCTGTGATTATACCTATTACCTCTCTCTGCATCATGGAAAGGGCTGTGCGGCACTCATTAATGTCCCTCCACTGTCACGCAGGCTCCCAGCCAGTCTGCTGGGAAGAGCTTTGTAAGTCATCATCCAGGAAATGCTGGAGGAGTGTGGGAAAACCCAGGCGCAAAGCCTGGTTCAAAGAAAACTCAACCGTGGTCGTTCTAGCTAAAGGAAACTGATCGGGGGATTGCTCCTTTAGAGAAGATTAAATGTTTCAATCCTGTGTGTACTGTTCAACTGTGCATTGAGAAACTTTTTTCAAAAATTGTGGGCCAGGCGCGGTGGCTCAAGCCTGTAATCCCAGCACTTTGGGAGGCTGAGGCGGGTGGATCACGAGGTCAAGAGATCGAGACCATCCTGGTCAACAAGGTGAAACCCCGTCTCTACTAAAAATACTAAAAATTAGCTGGGCATGGTGGCACGTGCCTGTAATCCCAGCTACTCAGGAGGCTGAGGCAGGAGAATTGCCTGAACCCGGGAGGTGGAGGTTGCGGTGAGCCGAGATCGCGCCATTGCACTCCAGCCTGGGTAACAAGAGGGAATGTCTCAAAAAAAAAAAAAAAAAAAAAAAAAAAAAAAAAAAAATTGCTTGTCAGACAAAGGGGTAAAAACTCCAAATCAGCCCAACAAAATCATGAAGGGTTATTTTATTGTCGTGAGAAAGAACACTCTGGAAGGTGGACATTTCACAAGGGATAAACTAGCTTCAGTTATGGTTTTCATGACAATAAAATGAAATACGAGGCAGGGTGCGGTGGCTCACGCCTGTAATCTCAGCACTTTGGGAGGCTGAGGTGGGCGGATCACGGGGTCAAGAGACTGAGACTATCCTGGCCAACATAGTGAAACCCTGTCTGTATTAAAAATACAAAAATTAATTGAGCGTGGTGGTGCACACCTGTAGTCCCAGCTACTTGGGAGGCTGAGGCAGGAGAATCACTTGAACCTGGGAGGTGGAGGTTGCAGTAAGCCCAGATCGTGCCACTGCACTCCAGCCTGGAGAAAGAGTGAGACTCCACCTCAACAACAACAAAAGAAATCTGAGTGATCTGTTTTCTTCCAAAAATCTACACCGTGGGTCTGTGTGATCCTGTCCAGATTCTGGGGCCACAGACCTGTTTTGCAGAGGCCTACGGAAGCACAGACACAGCCACTGCTCCAAGGGTCGCATTCCTGTCCTCCCAGCTTGTGTAACCTGGTCCTGGTACCCTCAGAGCCACTGAGGCACTACTGTTTGGTTTCTCTGTCTTTGTGTTTCCCCCTTTTACCACTTGCTCATTTTAATAATGTTTGAGTGTACAGTTCAGTAGTATTCAGTACATGTGCTTGTTGTATAATCGTCAGCACCATCCATCTCCAGAACTTTCTCCTCATCTCAAACTGAAACTCTGTACCTGTGAACTCCCTATTCCTTCTTCCTCCCAGCCCCTGGCACCCACCATCCCACCTGCATCCCTATGAATTTGACTCTAGGTACCTCATATGAGGGAATCACGCGGCACTGGTCCTTTTGCATCTGGCGTATTTCACCCAGCGTCATGTCCTCCAGGTTCATCTGTGTTGTAGCATGGGGCAGGACTGCATTCTGTTTAAGGCCGAATAATATTCCAGCATATGTATCTACCACATTTTGTTTATTCATTCATCTGTAGATGAACGCTCAGGTTGCTTGCCTCTTTGGGTTGTTATAAATCATGCTGCTACAAACACTGGTGTGCAAACACGAGTTCAAGTCCTTGCTTTCAGGTAAATACCCAGAAGTGAATTCTTGGATTCAATGCTAATTTTCAGTTTTTTAAGGAACTGCCATTTTGTTTTGCAAAGCAGCTGCGCCATTTTATATCCACACTGGCAGTCTGTGGTGGTAAAGCACAGGTTAATAGCTGGGCTTAGTCTCTCCATGGAATCTCAGCCAGGTGCGGTGGCTCACGCCTATAATCCCGGCACTTTGGGAGACCAAGGCAGGCAGATCACGAGTCAGGAGTTCGAGACCAGCCTGGCCAATATGGCGAAACCCTGTTTCTACTAAAAAAAAAAATAATAATAATACAAAAATTAACTGGGTGTGGTGGTGTGCGCCTGTAGTCCCAGCTACTTGGGAGGCTGAGGCAGAAGAAATGCTTCAACCCAGAAGGTGGAGGTTGCAGTGAGCTAAGATCGCGCCACTGCACTGCAGCCTGGGTGACAGAGCGAGACTCTTGTCTCAAGAAAGAAAAAACAAAAGACAAAACAGAATCTCCTTTCTGTTTCATCTTTTGTTTTGCTTTTATGACATGGCATTGGGTCTCGCGCCAAGCTTCTCCCAGCAGGATTCTACCTGTTCAGTGTTTCCTAGGGCAGATTTCCATTGGGAGTTCCGTTGGTAACGTTGCTTTTTTTTTTTTTTTTTTTTTTTTTTTTGAGGAAGTGAGTGAAGACAGCTAAGCTCTGTGAAATTTCTTGTTATGTTGGTGTGCTTACAACTACCATTTTTCACTTGACTACATTTAAAAAATTCACTTAGCATTCAGATTCATTCTCTGTTAAGAAAAGCATTTGCAGCTTCATAACAAAGGAACCAGGCCAGGTGCCGTGGTTGACATCTGTAATCCCACCACTTTGTGGGGTCCGAGGTGGGCTGATCACTTGAGGCCAGGAGCTGGAGACCAGCCTGGCCAACATGGTGAAAACCTGTTTCTACTAAAATTACCAAAAAATTAGCCAGGTGTGGTGGCAGGCACCTATAATCCCAGCTACTCAGGAGGCCGAGGCAGGGGAATCACTTGAACCCAGGAGGTTGCAGTCAGCCGAGATTGCACCATTGCACTCCAGCCTGGGCAACAAGAGGAAAACTCTGTCTCAAAACAAACCAATCAAAAAACCAAAGGAACCAGTCAAGGTTGCCAGCACACTTTTTACATTTGGAGTAGCCTTTAGAGGACTCTGCAAGTACACCTGGATCATTTGCTAGAAAACGAATCAAAGCCCGAAGGTTGGCGGGGAGGTGTGCACAGATCTGGCTGCGTGTTGGGAATTTGATCCGCCTGTGCTGTGGGCAATTCTGTCCCAAAACACTGGCAAGCAAGAGGCCTCCAGGACTGGGCTCCAGTGTTATTTTTCAGACTGCTTGACAGCATGCCATAACATTTTAAAAATTTTTAGATATTACCCAGAGCTCCCCCTTCATGAACTTCCCCATAATTTCCTTCTCTGTGGCCTCTGAAGTTCTCCAGGAAAACCCCAGAAGGCTCCTACACATCCTGGGCTGTGTATGTTGCCCAGAATCTCTTGTCAGTGTGCACAAAGCCTGCTTAGTTCTGGCACTACTGAAGTCAGTTTGAGAACCACAGCAGAAAAGGCTGAGTCCTGGGTTGATCTTTTTTTCTTTTCTTTCTTTTCTTTTTTTTTTTTTTTAGACGTAGTCTTGCTCTGTCACCAGCCTAGAGTGCACTGGTGCGATCTCGGCTCACTGCAACCTCTGCCTCCTGGGTTCAAGTGATTCTCTTGCCTCAGCCTCTTGAGTAGCTGGGACTACAGGTGCACACCACACCACCTGGCTAATTTTTTGTATTTAGTAGAGATGGGGTTTCACCATGTTGGCCAGAATGGTCTCGGTCTCCTGACTTTGTGATCCACCTGCCTTGGCCTCCCAAAGTGCTGGGATTTAAGGGCATGAGCCACCGTGACCAGCCTGGGTTGGTCATATAACAGTTGGTGGGGGGTGGGGGGGTCTTGGGCATGCATGCCTGTATGTTCATCTATGAGAGTAATTAAAATCCTTCCTTTGAAGGGTGATTGTGAACATCTTGTGAGAGAGTGGATGTTAAAGTCCTTCAGTGACATTAAGTCACACATGAGTATGGACTCATACCCAGACTTGTCAGGGGTTAATACAGAAATAGCTCTTGAGGGCTTGCAGTCTTAAGAAATAGCATGGAAGGGAAAGGTTCTGACACTTGTAAAGACCCAGAACCTTCATCCTGAGACATTGCTCCTCCTCCTGGCTGGGCAGGCCAAGTGCAGATGGCACTGTGGCAACCCAGAAGTGCAGCATCAACCTGCCCAGGAAAGCCAGAGGCCATGTTGGGCTTTCCAGCCTCAACATCGAGACCTCCTTGTCATCAGTCATCCAATGAAGATCCCCTGAGTCCAGGCACTTGGTGACAACAGTGAGCAATAACCCAAAAGCAAGGCCAAGCTTGAGAGTCCCCCTTTTGAGACAGAGTCTCAGTCTGTTGCCCAGGCTGGAGTACAGTGGTGTGATCTCAACTCACTGCAACCTCCACCACCTGGATTCAAGTGATTCTCCTGCCTCAGCCTCCCGAGTAGCTGGGATGACAGGCACCCGCCACCATGCCCAACTAATTTTTTGTATTTTTAGTAGAGGTGGTTTTACCATGTTGGCCAGGCTGGTCTCTGAACCCGAGTGATCCACCCACCTTGGCCTCCCAAAGTGCTGGGATTATAGGCTTAAGCCACCACCCCCAGCTGAGAATCCCTTTCAGAAAGGCCTTTTGCTTTTAGGTGCCAACACTTCTGAGGCTCAACAGGTTTGAGTTAACCGTGGCCTTTGGTTTACTTCTCCTACCTACACATTGCTATGCGGCTCTTCTTCTGGCCCGATTTTGTTATTGGAGCATAATTTCCAGTGACAAAGTTGAGGGAAATGACCACCTTCTCCTCCTGATGTGTCTATGAAGCCTTGGTCTGATTCTGGAACATTTACACCTTGCCATAGCCATATCCCCTGATGAAAATAATGATGTTTACATTTAGGGTCCCTGGGGGCAGGCAGAGATCACTAAGCAGCAGCTAGAAAGTCACTTAAGACTTGGAGCTCCTCTAGTGAGCCACAGCCCACTGGGTTCTTACCAGCACCCGCCAGAGGCAGGCATGTCAGCTGTGAAAGACCAAAAAGCATATGGGAAATGTGAAGAAATGAAGTCCTCTGCTCTGGAGTCATGCAGATCAGACTTGCCTTGGCCCGACTATTATCAGTGGAAAACACAGGAAAAAAAAAAAAAAATCCACAAATCAGTCAGAACTGCAGTACAGATTTCCATAATTTAGGTATTCAGATTTCCTTCCAGATAAAGAAACAGAAAAGCTTCCCTGTCATCCTCACCAGCAATCTGCTTGCTGAGAAAGCTCAGCTGTCAGAGAAGAGGCAATGCTTTCGTGGAGAATGCTTCCAGGCGAC